TTATTATTATTATTATTATTATTATTATTATATTATTATTATTATTATTATTATTACTACCACTGCTATTTTCTGTTATTTTCTTCTCAATATAACTGCACACTCTCTATATGCTCATGTAAAGCTGAGGAGCACGAGCCAAAGAATTTCATTATGGATAAATGTGGCTACACTGTTTATCTGTACATGACAATAAAACTTGAAACTTGTACAAGAATCTGCAAATGTGTCTTATTCATTAATGTGAAAGAGGTTGCCTCACATAGTGGCAAATAACATTGCTTTTAAAGTTTCTTTCATAATATTCTGAAATAATAATAATGTCATGTTGCGTTTACATTTTTCCTTCTAAAACACTGTTTTTAACTGAGTTTAATTACACTTAAAATAATCACACACTCTGGTGCTTTTCCAGCTGTCTGATGGTATGTCGATATATATACAACATGTTTGGGAATGCGAGATGGCACGACAAGGTTTTCCATTTTCATGTGCATGTTGTTCTGTTCACTCACCTTGTGGACAGAAATCCAGCGTCCTCGTGGTTGTAGTCGCCGGGGAAACCGTGTGTTGAAATGAGGGTCAGGCTGTTGAACCTCAGGTGAGGGCTGTGAGAGAACAAACAGCAGCGAAAAGCATGAGTGCTGTTCCACATAACGCTGTGAACACACAGTGAGAGGAGGACGCTGGGAAGGACTTCAGAGCTTTTGGAAACGCAATCACTGAAACATAAAACTTATGTTACTACTTTAAGTGTGTGAAACTGGAAATTCTAGATAACACTTTGTACATTTTTATACTGTTTGTGTTTTTTTAAACTGTTTATTTCAATCATTGGGACTTTATTTACCCCCATCTGATGGTATTTAATCACTAGCTTTTTAATGCCTCACTTAGATATTAGAACATTAAAGAGGTATAAAAGCAAAACCGTGATTTCTGCTGTCATACATACATATATATATACATACATACATACATATATATATATATATACATGCATATATACATACAATATTTATAATATTAATATATATATATATCATATCATAATACATCATACATACATACATACATACATATACATACATACATATATACATATATACATACTATACATACATATAATATACTAATATATATATACACATATACATATATATACACATACTACATACATAAAAATATATATACACATATATATATATATACATATATATATATCATATATAATATATATACATATATCATATTATAATATATAATATATACATATAATAATATATATACATATTAATAAAAAAAAAAAAAAACACCCAGCACGCCCCTGCGGGCGGTTTATCCTTCAAGCTCGGGTCCTCTACCAGAGGCCTGGGAGCTTGAGGGTCCTGCGCAGTATCTTAGCTGTTCCCAGGACTGCGCTCTTCTGGACAGAGATCTCCGATGTTATTCCCGGGATCTGCTGGAGCCACTCGCCTAGCTTGGGAGTCACCGCACCTAGTGCTCCGATTACCACGGGGACCACCGTTACCTTCACCCTCCACATCCTCTCGAGCTCTTCTCTGAGCCCTTGGTATTTCTCCAGCTTCTCGTGTTCCTTCTTCCTGATATTGCTGTCATTGGGAACCGCTACATCGATCACTACGGCCGTCTTCTTCTGTTTGTCTACCACCACTATGTCCGGTTGGTTAGCCACCACCATTTTGTCCGTCTGTATCTGGAAGTCCCACAGGATCTTAGCTCGGTCATTCTCCACCACCCTTGGGGGCATCTCCCATTTTGACCTCGGGACTTCCAGGTTATACTCGGCACAGATGTTCCTGTACACTATGCCGGCCACTTGGTTGTGGCGTTCCATGTATGCCTTGCCTGCTAGCATCTTGCACCCTGCTGTTATGTGCTGGATTGTCTCTGGGGCATCTTTACACAGCCTGCACCTGGGGTCTTGCCTGGTGTGATAGACCCCAGCCTCTATGGATCTTGTACTCAGAGCTTGTTCTTGTGCTGCCATGATTAGTGCCTCTGTGCTGTCTTTCAGTCCAGCTTTGTCCAGCCACTGGTAGGATTTCTGGATATCAGCCACCTCCTCTATCTGCCGGTGGTACATACCGTGCAGGGGCCTGTCCTTCCATGATGGTTCCTCGTCTCCCTCCTCTTTCTTGGGTTTCTGCTGCCTGAGGTATTCACTGAGCACTCAGGTCAGTTGGGGCCATCTTCCCAATGTATTCTTGGATGTTCGTTGTCTCATCCTGGACTGTGGTGCTGACACTCACCAGTCCCCGGCCCCCTTCCTTCCGCTTAGCGTACAGCCTCAGGGTGCTGGACTTGGGGTGAAACCCTCCATGCATGGTAAGGAGCTTTCTTGTCTTTATGTCAGTGGCTTCTATCTCCTCCTTTGGCCAGCCTATTACCCCAGCAGGGTACCTGATCACGGGCAGGGCGTACGTATTGATGGCCCGGATCTTGTTCTTACCATTCAGCTGACTCCTCAGGACTTGCCTGACCCTCTGCAGGTACTTGGTGGTTGCAGCTTTTCTAGCGGCCTCTTCATGGTTCCCATTCGCCTGCGGGATCCCCAGGTACTTGTAACTGTCCTCTATGTCTGCAATGTTGCCTTCTGGTAGTTCAATCCCCTCAGTTCTGACTACCTTCCCTCTCTTTGTTACCATCCGACTACACTTCTCCAGTCCGAACGACATTCCAATGTCATTGCTGTATAGCCTGGTAGTGTGGATCAGTGAATCGATGTCTCGTTCACTCTTGGCATACAGCTTGATGTCATCCATGTACAGGAGGTGGCTGACAACTGCTCCGTTCCGTAGTCGGTATCCACAAGTCATAATAATAATAATAATAATAATAACAACAATAAAAAGGAGAGAAAAAAGTATTAAATATTAGAGAATTCAGTTGGTATTTACATTTAAGACAAGTTGGTATTTACAAGTTTGTGCAAGAGTATCTGCAGGTTGTACAAAGTTGTGCAGTGAGCATTTAAGTAGCATTTGTTGAAGTGACAGTGTGCAGAGTCCTGTTACTGTAATGAGTGTGTAGTGTTGTGTATGGAATGTCAGCAGTTCAAAAGTCTGATGGCTTGTGGGTAAAAACTGTCCCTGTGTCTGGTAGTGTGGGTCTGGATGCACCTGAACCGCCTGCCGGATGGCAGGAGTGTGAAAGGTCTGTGTCTGGGGTGGCTGGGATCAGAGAGGATCCGCTGTGTCTTCCTCATGCAGCACTGTCTGTAGAGATTTGGCATGGCTGGCAGTTCAGTCCTGATGATGCGCTGTGCTGATCTCACCACCCTCTGCAGAGCTTTGTGGTCCAGACCATTACAGCTGCCACACCAAGTGGTGATGCAGCCAGTCAGAATACTTTCAGTGGTGATTTTCAACCGTGATTTCCACAAACATTAAGAACATTTGTACACATTTCTTTTTAAATTGAGCTGAATTCTGTGCCAGAGACCGGCCAACAAATGATGACAGACACTGACATTGTCAGTGCATATTAGAAATACAGATTTCTAACTGAAAGTGCATCATCATCATTGTGGAGGCTTGTATTAGAAAATTAGCATTAATATAATTCTATTAGTTTAAGTTTCTTCTTCTCATCTTCATGCAGTCATGCCTACAGCAGCAGAGACTTGTCCCAGATCCCAGTGCGTTCCTTCATCAGAGTGGTGACGGGGAAGTTGGTGGGCATCAGAAGGAAGTCCAAATACGTCCTCTTGTCCAGTGGGGAGAAGGTGCCCTACGACCACCTCATCCTCTGTACTGGCCTGCAGTATCGGGTGAGATGATTGGTTCTTTTAATGTGAGTTGTAAAAAGTCTTTCCTCTGACAGCAGAGCTGTTGCTGCAGTGTGAACTGGGTGAAAAATATTTCCGACTTATGTGTGCTGTTTGGTTAGAGAAAATAGCAGAAAACATCTCATTACAATGCAGTCACATCCACCTGCACCGCCCCCACTACACACACACTAATAACCATGAATCAGAATGATCAACTTTTTTTATAAATTCAACAAAAATTGAAGCATGAGCTTTAGAGAAGTGTTTTTAATCATAAAACAGTTGTATTTCACTGCATTAGATAGCAGAGGTGTCCCTAATAAAGTGCTCAATGAGTGTTTTCAGTAGGTTTTTTTTTTTTTGCTTAAGCATCAACAGGATTCACAGACTACACTCGAGCCATACCTGAGTTACAAAAAACAACAACATAATATGACATCCTTGTGTCGCCGATGTTCCTTTGGCATTATAATTTAGTTCTAACTTTAAGAGGAGAAAAAAAGCTATTTATAGCTCTTTAAAGCTGACACAGAGGACACAGCTGCAGCACTTAGACAGGTGAAATAACAACAAAATGTTTGTTTCTGACCTGAGGCTAAGAAATGGGCAGGAAAAAGACAGGAATTAAAATCATAGACAACACACAAGAAAAAGCCAACTGTCAAAGTAAAACAGGAAACATACAAAAGACAGAATAAACAGGGACTGTGTCTATATGTCAGGTTGGGTATCAGACACCACCTCTCTGGGGACATCTCAGGCCCTCCAAGGTTTGGAGGCCTATCTCCACCCACCACCACTTCCCCTGCCAGTGGCGGACTCCCTCAGGTGTCGGTGCGTTGGTGGTTCTTTGTGTCTGGGGGTGGGCGTCCGGGTACACACCGGCTCACTCCTTGGCGGCCGCTTATCGGGGCCTGGAGCCTGGGGCTCGCTCGGGCCACTTCGGAGGTGGGGTGCCCCCGGCCTCTCGGCCTGGGGCTCGGTCACTCAGGCACAGCTGGCTGCCGGCGGAGCTCACGGGCGCGTCACTGCAACTCCCCCTGGCTTCTGCTCCGCGGCTGCTGAGTGAGCCCTCATCTGGGACTCTCCTCAGCTCTTACTGGGACAGTGGCGCGGCTGCCCCTCTGTTGGTCTTCCTTGGTCTCTTGTGTTCTGGGGGCCTCTGGATGTCTGGAGTTTTGATCTCCTCCATACCTGCTTCATACCCTGGAGGACGGGGCTGTGGCTCCCCACACTCCCTAGCAGATCGTTACATGGAGAAACCTTTGGAATGCAAGCATGCTGATCCACACAGGTATGCACACAGGTGTACACACGGGTATTCACAGACGCGGACTACAGCTTTCTTGGCTGCTGCCTCAAAGCACATTGTGCGCTGTCTATCTTGCGTGCTGCACAATATCGTTTATTATTTAGTATCTACTGATATCTACTGCTAGCTAGTTTATTGTGATGGTGCCGTTTTTTTTATTATGTTGCTCTTTGTTGTTTGCTTTCTCTTCTGTTTTTTTTTCTCCATACAGGTGACCCAGGTGTTTTGTTTTTTTTGTTTGTTTGTTTTTTTCTTTCTTCCCCCCCTTCTCACCGTCTCTTCTCCCCTTTGGTTTTCTTTCTCTCCCTCTCTTTCTTTCATTCTTTCTCCCTGTCCTATCCCCCAGTCATGTCTGTCCCGTTTGTAGCAACTGAAAATAAAATAAATTCATAATTATAATAAAGGTCAATCAAATGGACCAATATGGCAAGGCCATGATGATCCACTTGGTAAAATAAATCCGCTTGGCATCTTTCTTGGCCTTAAGACAACAATTCTGATGGCTAAAGATCCAAACGGGACACAAAAAAACAAAAAACAAAAAAAACCAAAAAAACAGAATAAACAGGGAAAGTTTAACCGAGAAGGCACATACATGAGAGAGGAGAGAGAACAGACTGGGGAGATTAATACAACAATGGAATGAAAAACAGGGACCAGAACTCAATAATTTCATTTGAAGCTCACAAAAAATAAAAAACATTGTCAGCATGAGAATAAAATCAAAACAGTGATCCAAATCAATAAATATAAAAGAACCAAAGCTCACGAACATCCCCACACCCTCGGACCACGACAGCAGGTCTGTCACACTGTCTTGTTATATGATTGTTGTCCATGCTGAAGGACACTTTGTACATAATGGTGACGCACAGCATTCCTTTCATGATGTCTCCTTTTAACTGTTTGCTATTGCATGACTGAAATGTAAGAAGTTAAAGAAATGAATTTAATTTGTTTTGTCTGTGTGTGTGTGTGTGTGTGTGTGTGTGTGTAGGTACCGTGTCCCACTGGTGTAGATGTGAGCCAGCCTGTCACAAACAGCCAGCTGCACTCCACTCACAGCAGATACACTGGGCCCGTGCCCTCCAACCTCTTCACCCTCAACGACCTCCACGACTGCATGGCTGCTCGCCGCTGGCTCTGTGCCAACTTTTTGGAGCTGGAGGGTAAATGGAAAGCCTCGCCTACACACACACACACACACACACACACAGAACACCTAAAATTAATCTGTAGTAGTATGTCATTACTCAGCCAGTCGCTGCTGAAGTGCCCCGGTATAATTAGCAGCTAATTAGCTGCAGAGAAATCTTTCATCTCCGTGAATCAGGTCGGCCTCTTCCATCCATTTTCCATTATCATATCACTTTCTGAGAGCCGGGCTTTTCAGAGCAGGGAAAATGCACAGTGTCATTAAGCAAAATTAATCTGCTCTCTGAAGGAATTGTGCAGTGATCTAGAGTGAGGCTTTTATACATACTAATTAGCTGATTCCAGTCATAAAGGAAAACCATTAATACATGCAAATTGCAGAGACAGACCTTTGCAGATACCATGTTTATTTCCATATTTTAATAATAACAACAGAAGGAAAACAAAGAGTGTATGTAAATCTCAGCCTTCGAGTGTAGGGAAGTTTCTCTGATTTGCCACAAATCCAACAAAATAGAAAAAACAAAAACATTACAGTTGATCTTCAAACATTTTATTACCCTGCTCCAGCAATGTTCATGCAAGTATCATTTTTAATATAACATGCTCTGTTCATTTCCACCAACACAGAGATTATTAGCACTTCACAAAGATGTCAGCAGGGACAGTTGTTTATATAACTAATGTGTCCTGCATGGACATGACAATTAATATTTACGAAATGAGCATGTGCAGCTGTAAGCTATTAAATATAATGTTTCCTCTGTTTCCAAGTAACAAAACAACATATGGTGATATTTATGAATTCATGAAGCCATATGAACATGTGCAATGACAGAAATCCTAAAGCTGACATGCTAACTGAACGTATTAGTGTGTTCACAAAATTAGGAAAAACACATCCAATGAGAAGGAAAGACTGCATTTAACGGGATCTATTTTTTGTGTATACTAATCGATGTTTTAGGAATGAGGGTCTGTTTACAGTGTGTTTTGTGTTGTTTTGGTTTTTTCTCAGAAGCAGGGAAAGTTTTAATTTTTTTTAAATGTTTATGGTCACCGAGAGTTGAAAATTTTTGACCTTCTGGGAAAACCCAGCTGTCCAATCACAGTTTAGGAGGGGCAAGACAAAAACTATACTGTCCAACCATTGACTGCTAAGCAACAATGGAGGAGACGTTAGTACTGCCTGTAGCAAAATTAAATCCCCAAACTACCAGAGTAATTATACGGAAGATCATGATTAAAGTGGCATTTTGTTTCCCTGTGGGTGTAACAGTTAAGCAGCAGTCAGGTGGAGTGGAGTTCATGCAACACTTTACTTTTGTGGATATCGTGTATCATAGCAACCAAAGGAGCTCAGCTAATAAAACACTCCCAACCACTCCTAGCTGCATTTTGTTTGTGTATTTGTGTGAGATGGTCAGAGTATGTGGTAGTTTTCCAAAACAAACTACTGTGTTGTGTAAGCTCTTTACCGTCAATAGCAATGATATTTGTAGCATGTGATCATGGCTTATATAAATCTAACTCATCTTACCGCAGCTCTCATTCAGTACCATGGACAGAGGCCATGAACAGCAGCCCGTGAAAGCCTTCAACTCCTGTGCTGATAAAACTAGACAAGAAAGGCATTTCTGAACTTGCCTCAGATTATACTAAAAGCAGATTAAATGTAGCAACTTCAATTCAGTTTTAATTCTATTGGAATATAATAATATGAATATATATAAATATATAAATATAATCACAAAAACAGTCACCTTGAGGCAGTTTATATTGTTAGATAAAGATTCAAAAGTAATACAAAGATAACCCCAGCAATCTGATTCTTTATTTAACAGGAAGCCAATGAAGAGAAACCAATATAGAGAAGAGAAATATGCATTCTAGTCCCTGTCAGTACTCTTGCTGCAGCATTTTGGATTAACTGAAGGCTTTTCAGGGAGTTTTTAGGACATCCTGATAATAATGAATTACAGTAGTCCGAGCTAGAAGTAATTAATGTATGAACTAGTCTTTCAGTGTGACTCTGAGACAGGCTATTTATAATTTTAGAGATATTATACAAATGGAAGAAAGCAGGCCTACATATGTGTTTAATATGTGCATTGAAGGACATATCCTGGTCAAAATGACTCCAAGATTCCTCACAGTGTTACTGGAGGCCAAGGTAATGCCATCTAGATTAAGTGTCTGGTAAGACACTAAGTTTTTATAGGGCCAAGTACAATAACCTCAGTTTTATCTGAATTTTAAATCAGAAAATGTATAGCAGTGATTCCAAAACTTTTTTTGCTAGACCCCCTTTGTTTTACAAGAAAAATGTCGTCCCCCCCCCCCTAAATTACAGGTGTAATAAAATAAACTACTAACTCTTTTGCGCTACGTCCACACCTGCACGGGTATTTTTGAAAACGCAGCTGTTCCGTCCACACGTAAACGGCGTTTCGAATCACCGAAAACCGAGATTTTTTGTGTTTACGTGTGGATGAGGAATACAGAGTTCGTCACGCAATGTTAAAGGTATGTGCCTTTTTTCACGTCACGCTGTGCGCCACGTTATTGTTTACCTGAGATGAATTGCAGAATGGCAGATAGAGACACAATACTGTTAATCTGACTATCTGCAGGTTTTACACACTTAACACACGCAGTTACTGTCTCTCCATTTAGAAAGGCAGAGGCTCACAGTGTGATTATTTTACTTGTAGTTGTTTTTCCCTGTGTAATAATTTTCAACATTGCTATCAATACATTTTTCAAAAAATGCCTCTCTGTGCAAAATGGGTTTAAAAACATAAACAACTGTGGGATACTGTTTGTCCGTGATTTGAACCGGGGGAACAAATCGTGGCAGGATCAGCCTGATATTATTTGTAACTGTAACTTCACTGTATAAAGAGCTAACATCTCCAAAATGTCAGGAGTAGTTAGTCATTACAAGAAGTGTTTGTGAACTAAAAATCAAGAATGTGGGATACTATTTGTCCGTGATTTGGAGGGCCCGGCGCGTGCTCCCGATGCAGGGGAGACCTACCTCTGCACTTGCGCAGGTGACACCAAAGGGCAGATATGCTTCACCATATTTTCTAGTCTTTGGCTTAGAATGAAGTTGGTTTGAAAAAATAGTCAGCGATGCTTCATCTCCTGCTTTGCATTTGTGTGGGAGCCCTGACAAAAACCCATCAATGATGCTAGCAGTGTTCACACCGCGCCGCGCATGCTATAATCGTTCTAATAGGATATTATGGTCAATAGTATCGAACGCTGCGAAGGTCTAGCAGGACAAGCAAAGATATGAGTCCACTGTCAGAGGCCATAAGAAGATTGTAACGTTGACTAAAGCTGTTTCTGTACTGTGATGAGCTCTGATCTTCTGCAGAGGAATGGCTTATTTAAAGAGTTTCAGTCAGGTTTCAGGTAGAGCTTTACAACTACTCTTTCAAGAGTAGACTGGCCTATAATTAGCTAAGACCGCTGGGTCAATGTGACCTTACTTTGGTTTAATAACAGAGAGAGATGATGGGAAAAAAAGCTACCTTAGATAACACACAGTAGCATTAGCTGTTTTTCTTCACAGTCCAGGTGCAGTTGAATAGCCTTTGGAAGGTTCCTGACTGAGTGAAATGACCCAGAGGTGTGGCAGCCACAATAAGAGCTGTTTGAATTCTGTTATTACTAAGGAAATGTGCTTCTGTGCTTCCTTTATTACCTCCTGCAGCTGAACCATCTTTCATGACAGGAAAGGAGATAATAACATCCCATAATTCATACTGACGCATCATTCCACCGTTCACTGAAACCATCAACAAAACTGACAAGTCACACAGATCATGTAAATGTTAATTAACATTGTGTTTCTTATTTCACGCCATAACCTGCTGATAAGCTTTGATTTTTCAGCAAAAGGCTGGTAAAGCCAGAGCTGAACGCAAAACATCACGCTTCTGTAATAAAATCTGATTTTATCGAGATGTAAGTCAAGATTATGACCAATATTTATTGATCAAAGTGCTTTTATGGTTTGCTGTAGTTCAGGTTTTTTGTATTTCCAGCCTTTTTTCACACATCAGGGCTGTTACTTGTTACTTTTGCTCCCTTTTTAAAAAAAATTTAACCTCTGTAATTAAATTATATTTTCACCGGTGACCTGCATGAAACAGGAACAAAAACTGTAAGAGTATTCAACTGAACATGATTTGGAAGGCATCGGTTAACTCGATGCCTTCTAAGATTGTATTTCCATATCACATAATTCACTGGTCAGGTCCACTCTCTGAGAGGTCTTAGCTTAGTTTGAGTCCATCCACACAGTCACAGGCTCACTGGACAGCAGGCAGTTGTTTTGATCTGTTATTCATTTGTTACATTTGCAAAAACATATTTGCAAATTAAAGATAATCATATAAATGCCCCCCCAAAAAATCTTTTGTAAGCACATGTTCTCTCTTTTCAAAACAATTGTATTGTTATTTTAATGAAAGGATTTTTCACTGTTAGCTTAGTTTTAGTATAACTAGGAATACTCTGTTTACGTGAGTTGCCATGAATTCACGCACATATAAAATTTCAGTTTGTGCTCTCTTTGTCTGTCGGACCTTTGGAATGAAGGTCCTGCGGTCGAGGTGCTGTCCATTACAAACAGCAAAGCACGAGGAGCTGAAGTACAAGGAAAACTCATTCAGATGCTCTCATTTGTCCTTGTGTATCTGTGGTTCAGAGTTCAGCAAGCCGAGGGCCTCTTGTAGAACAATGTGTAGCTTTTCCCTTCGTTTCCAAGGCCGTTTGTAAAACCTGAGCAGACTGAGCTATTGTCTGTAGACTGGAAAACATTGGTTTGAAAAAGAGAGATTATTTGTATTGTATCTTTGGACAATAACATCTGTTGTGCTCACAATCAGAAAAACATACAAGAGCTCCTAAATGGAGAAAAATGCATGTAAATTCATTTTTTGTTTTCAGAAAGCTGTTACTGCAGTTTTTTGTTTGGATCTGAGTCCTCTCATGCATCACGTTTCATGTCTCTCATTAATGAAGGGACAGCGGCTGATTTTTCACCGATTTCAGAGTGGAAGGTAACAACTGTGCTCCACTATAAGCCCTCAATAAATGTTGCAGTAATATAAAACTTTGTAGGTAACGTTTTGCTGAGTGTGAATACAGCAGCTAGTGTGTGTTTTATGGATAGTTTCTTGCCTTTTAACAGTGAGGTCTGTCATGTCGTGAAGAGCAGCTTTTTATCGTTTAAAGCATCGCTGAGACAGTTTAAGGACATAGAAAAAGTTTTCCATATTTTTATAACCTCTCTGCTGTTTATCCCTGTTTGTTTTTAAAGCCTGCCGTAGATCTGCTCCACAATATGTTAACATCATATTCTCCCTCCAAGTCCAACCTCTTGCATAGAAATAGAAGTTGATCGGGCTTCTTCTGTTACTGTTATTGCCGTCTAAGTGAAGTCCACTTCATGCCCAAGTCCACTGTCAACATTTCAACAATGATTTTTGTTTTATTCTTTTATTTTTCTCTAATTCTGTGTTTGTTTATTTTGTTATTTTTATATTATCAGTTCATTATATTTCTCTTTTATGTGATTTTCATGATTTGGTCATCATCAGGTTTTGTGTTTCTCTTGCAGTCATTTGCACTGCCTTCTCTGTTGGTCCTTTTTGCACTTTGGATTGACTCGCACAGTTTTCAATAAAAATACTGACCAATATTTTGGTGCTTTTACTGCATCATGTGAGTATTTGTGAAGTTGGTTATTTCCTCCTGTGTGCTACATGTGATAAAAACATCCCGACCTGACTGTCCTGAAGCCGTCCAAAGTTCACGTAGGAAAACGGCCAAGTACTCATATTTATGCAGGTGTATCATGCGGCTTAGTAACTTTAACCAGTAACTTTTAACCATTAACCACCTCACATAAACAATGAATGTTTATGTATGTTTTTTAAGAGGAATTCTCTTTTCTGCCAAACTTGACATAGGAGTTTGTGAGTGAACTCTCACTATGAAACCTTTCCTTCTTTGCGTCTTCTCAGATAACGCCATCGTCTACGGAAACAACATCGACATCTACACCACCGTAGAGACTCTGCTGAGCCTCGGCATTCGTGGATCTCGTATCCATCTTGTCCTCTTGCCTCCTGTGCCAGGCGTCTCCAGCTTCTTGGACTCATCTGTAGAAAAAGCCGCGGCGATGGCCATGGAGAACGCCATGGTCCAGATCCACCGTAA